GTAGACTTTCGGATTGTCTACTGGACACCAGCAAACTCCTCTAAATCCCTGTGTCAACGAGTGCTAGTACTGGTCAAAGAAGTGGCTATTCGATAAATGCATCCAGCGTTTTGTTGTCAGAAGACGTTGATACAAGCGGAGGCAAAGATGATGATCGACGTCTTCGTGCGCAGGCTAGAGAGACTTCAATGAAGCGATCAGATCGACAGGCTTGAACATTACGGTCATCACGTTGATGATAACTTTACGATTGCCTCCGCAGAAACCCACGCAGCTGCCCTGTTAAATGCTGTAAATCACACACATCCGTCTATCAAATTTACGGTTGAGATGGGATCGGCCGGTTCGCTCCCTTTCTTAGATGTCCTTATAAACAGGAGACCTGACGTTAACGTCCGAAGGGGCGTCTATCGGAAGAAAACCTTGTCTGAACAATGCATTAACACCGCCACTTTCGTACAACTCAAACAAGAAAGAAATCTAGTATGGTGCTTGGTACAAGGAGTTAGAAAATTTGTTCAACATATATCATCGAGGGGTAACTTAGAACAATCCAGGACCTGCTTTGCGAAAATGGATACGCTGGCAGGTTCATTGTAAAGAACATTGCCAAACGACCGGTAAAACCCACAACACTGACTGCCGAAAGGAAAACCTTGTTCCTCAAAGTTGCTTTATAAGGAGACGCTGCAAGTGAACTCATAAAACGACGCCTTAACCAAACTGTCTCGAGAAGCTGCCCAGCTGCAGGGGTTCGCATATCGTTCTCTACTAACCCTATTTTACGCGGAGAAGGCAATGATAGGCTGACACCTCGAACCACGTCAATATGCGTCTATTCATTCACTTGCTCATTTGAAGCAAGTTATATCGGTCGTAGGAGTCGGCGTCTTTCCAAATGAATACGAGAACAACTCCCCGCGTGGCTGACAAATGCGAAACTAGGAGAATAGGCAGCGCCATCCTTGCGTACGCAGTTGATTCAGGGCATCGTATGGACACCGCTGAAGACTCTTCTGTGATTCATAAAGTCTTCTCGAGTTACCCTAAGCTACTGGACCAGCGCCTGTTAGCAACAACAGAAGTGGCCGCAACCAGGCTACGAAAACCGACTCTGTGCGTTCAGAAGAGCCTCGTACAGGCTCTGCACTCACCGTGGTCAAAGGTTTACTAATCACATGCAGCCTTCTGAGTTCTTCCGCTCTTGCCTAGCCTATGCTTCCAAAATAACTTTTGTCGATATTTTAACCACTGTCATGTTTGACTGTACCCCGTTACCATATAATTGTATTGGTCTTAAGAGAATTTGTCGACAGGAACCTTTGCTCGCAAAATTGTCTTCTGAATAATCCTGTTGTGCTGCCACTTGGGTATGACTGGCTCAGGACGGCTAATGCCCATTCCGGTCTCCCTTGTCTTTGTCGATCAAAACATTGTGACTAATCTCCCCCGGGGCACATGTAGACCTTGATATAGTCAGAGCAGCACTACCGACAAAGACAAGGGAGACCGGAATGGCATTTTCTGACTCATTAGCCGTCGTCAGCCAGTCATAGCATACCCCGAGGTGTGGAACATCTGGGTCTCGATCCCGCGATCTCTTGGTTAGAAATCCATCGCCCCTTACCCCTGAGCCACGGGCTCATTGTCCTGTCGGTTGCGATCGGGTACATACAATGGTAGAAGGACGCTCACCGGTTTCGCCAAGGAACTCACTCGTGCCGTTGTGCCTTATGGCTCTCTCTCTCTCGAGCATGCCACACAGTGGCGCATGCTATCGACAGAATAGCATTGCCGCCATTTTATTCTCACTTGTCTTTTTCGTAATGCTATTTCGTCTGTATTACGTGCAGCTGTGCGGCTGCTGGAGGAAATTAAGAGGGCCCCAAGGCACAACGGGACGATTTCGTTCCGTAGCGCGATCGGTGATCATCCTTTTAGCACATATAAACCCTGCCTATGGCTCATATATCCACTCCACATGTGATTGTAGTGACCTGATGATGAATTATCGGACAACTGACCTTTGAAATCTGCATAACGTGATGTACCTCAATACTTATGAGTCAGTTCGTCACAAAATACCTACCCAATGTCAAACCAATTCAGGCGTCAACCAAAATACCCAAATGATAATTAATGAATTGAAGATAAAAGTAGATAAAAGATGTACTTTAAGTAGCATTAAGTCTGTAAGCAATAACCATTGTTTCAAGAGAAGCAAAATATCAAAATCGTGATAATTTCTGTCAACTGATTAAAGTCAGTTTTTGGAAGTACATAAATTGCGTCGATGAAAAAATCCGAGCAAATTAAACTTCATAAATACAATGACATTTAAAGACTGTTTTGACAAATTTCGAGGCAAAGGTCCTTCAGTTATTACTGCACTGCGCAGTTTGGTGGTTAGTCGACTGCTGGATGTCTACTCGGGCGTTTTAAAACCTCTTTACAGCGATCCGGCGTAAATGTTCAAATTGAGTACTGTTTCTGCTGTGTCCGATCACGAAAAGAGAATTTGTCATGAATAAACAGACAGATATATCACAGAAATAAAATATCTTGTAAGTTCATCTATCCAGGGCCCAGTCGGTAAGCAACAAATTGTAATATGTTTATCAGATGCAATGAAACGCATACAAATTTTCCCCTGCATTCCGCTGCATTTTCTGGCGCCTTCTAGAAGTCAGTGAATACTTTGCCGTTTTTTGTCATTCTCATTCGGCCGCCCAAAATTATTGCGTCAATCAAACATCCAAGATATTGTGGCCTTGATAAAGTTCTGCCTATATAATGGCTTCCCGGAGTTCCGTTTTATGCTGGTGACGGGTTACATCATGCGTGCAGACTCATACAAATATAAAATTTAATCACCAAAGAAAATGAATGCATACAACAAAAACCTGCAGTGAACAAGGTCTTGGCCGACAACAGCACCCGCCCATAAAGCTGCCTCTTTTAAAAGCTGTTTGACTGGAACATTTCCTCGAGTTCTGCGCAGGTATTTCATCTTTTTACAAAGTGAGGTCAAGGAAGCTATTGGAACGTTTAGCTTCCTTGGGCAGACGAAACATTGATCTTCTCTCTTTAGCAGAGCCATTTTCGTTATCTTTACTTTCTTTCGTGCCAGCAGAAACTAAACTCGCAAAATTATCTTGTTATTTATTCAAAATGTAAATCGGCCGTTAAGTGGTGAGCCTTTTCACGCTTTCTCATGAAATACTCGGATATGCCTGAAGATGACAGGTATTCTGGAACAAAAGGTATCGTCTAGACGTCATTACTGTATGTCAGGGCAGGAGATTGCAAAGATTTTCAACCCAGCATTTTTTACATCAAAAAACATCCATTTTTGATAGAAAGAAGTGATCGCTTGAACAAGGGCTTGATTCGCCTGACGTTGCGGATTCCCACTTGAACCCATAATCAGAAACAGTGGGAGTTATTTTTGCAAATAACGCGTTTTTTCCTGCCTTTCCTTGCCTGATTTAAGCGGTCTGAAAACGAAAAGTTTAAGATGGCTAAGATTGTTTTGGTAAAACGTACACGTTTACATACCGATACAAAAATGTGCTTGAGATATTTATAAACACCGAAAACCTGCCGGATCTTTGGCCTCATTAATTTCCGCCTATAACTGAAGATATTTGTGATTGAAAAATAACTTGAGGATATATTATGCGCATCGAGCCAATAAGTAGAAGGCACGACTTTCAGCTAGATTTCGTTTAGACTGTCTCCTGAGTTACACCACTTGATGCATTTCGAATGATAGGTTAGCATGCGCTTGAGGGAGATGAAGACGGGCAGCTAACATTCCCATATTTCTCTCGCACTGATCTAGGAAGTTGACAGTTTCCTTTGTTGGCACACAGTCAAACTGAACTGCCTCTCTCGCAACTGCTTTCATAGGGATTGTGTTCTGGCCATCCCATTCAGAAGGCGACTAATTCTTCTAAAGTAGTTATCCGCCTTATAACCCGGCTGTAAACCCCTACTTCAAAACTAATGGCTGACGAAAAATAACCGCTGTCCTTGCGGCTAATAACTTTGCCTAGACAAAGTCTAGGAAACGAGAATGTAAACAATGTAGATAAAGTCTAGACAAAGTAATTAGCCGCGAGCACAGCACGCGGATGACCATTGGTCCTGGTGTCAGTACCGGCTAGCCAAATTGCCCAAGAGCCCACACGGATGACGAAATCCGGGCGTCAGCAGCTCGACTGCGTGCGATGAGCGTGGGAATCGATAATCTTGACCGGAACACAAGGGCATAGCAACTGCATGCTTCAACACCTGGCCAGTCGAGCCGTGATGCACTCGAGAGCTGCCAACTGCGATAGGCATGTAGCGGCCTGGCAACTACATCCTATAAATACTGCAACACCTGGGCAATTCACCACCCTTATCTGACTCTGTCCCTGATAATGGATTCGAGTGCGAATCCGAAACGTCAGGCTAATAAAGCCCTTGTTCCAGCGATCGTGTCTCCTTTTTCCCAGAAAGCTGTCGTGGAAAAGAAGGTGCGACCGCTGAAATAAGAGCTTCATTCGTCCCACGCTTCGGATTCCTACTTCAGCCCATCATCAGAGACAGGTAGTTCATCCAAATGCGACTGCAGTATATACAAGATTCAGTCGCCATGCTACCGCACACCTCTCTCAGTTCACGCCTTCATCTTCATCCAGGATTGTTGCACTTGATGTGATGACTGTTCGGTGGTCGACTTTCGAGTCGTTAATGGTTGCAATCGTGTCACGTGTGTTGAATTTTAGTGTGATGATTGCTCGACCATCTGCTCCGCCAACCCTGACGTTGGGAACAGTGTTCACCTGTGCACTCCTTACGTGGTCAATTACTCCACCTAAAGAAATCGCAGCAGCGCATATGGAAGGGGACGGTCATTGCACCTGTTTATAGACTGAAGGCCAGTAAACCATGATTCAGGCAGATCGTGTCTCATGCGAATGTCACATATTGGAACCCATCGTGTCGCTCAAATGTACTTCAGCGTATGGACTGGAAAAGTGACTGCCCCGGCGTCTGGAGTTTCTGACCGCCGAGTCAGACACTGCGGTCTCTTCGTCAGCACAATTATTGAGGAACTTAAAGGGGCAAGTCTCCTTTCAAATGAGGTCAAGGTACCTTTTGATGTTATGTCCCTTTGTTCTTCTGTTCCCCTGGATCTGCGGACCGGGATGATTAAACCGCTACTGGAAAGTGAATACGATGGAAAGAAAAATCGACTTGAACACGCCCAAGTCCCTCTGCTCCTGAAGTCCTGTCTCAAGGCGTACTACACGTTTGACGAGACACCCTATATAGAGGCGAAACAGACACCTGCGGTTACGGACAAAGCAACTACGTCGGAGAAATCGCAAGACTGCTCCGAATGCGAATGGCCGAACGAGCAGCAGCAGTTTGGAGGAATGACGCCAGCTCTTAGGTTATGGCTCATTCTACGAGATCCAGCAACACGTTCTAATTTGACGAGGCCGAAATTCTCGTCAATGATGTGATTTCGCCTAGGAGGAGTAATTGGTCAGGCAGGCAGCGCCCAGATGAACACTGTTCCCAACGTCAGGGTTGGAGGAGCAGATGGTCGAGCAATCATCACACTAAAATTCAACACACGTGATGCAATTGTAACCATTAACAGCTCGAGCTTCGATCACCAAACAGTCATCACATCAAGTGCAACAATCCTTGATGAAGGGGAGAGGGAGCGTGAACTGACATAGGTATGCGGTACCATGGCGACGACATCTTGTAAATACTGCAGTCCTTTCGGGATGAACTACCTGTGTGTGTTATTGTCTCTGCTGATGGGTTAGTGTAAGAATCCGAAGCATCGGACAAATAAAACTCTTTTTCCAGATGTCATGTCTCTTTCTTTAGGGTTAATTTGGTTTTAATTTGTTTTAGTGATCGCTACCCTAAGTTAATATAAATGTTATTGGCTGCTGATAACATGCCTTTGACCATTCAATTTCATTGTCTGCGATTAGGTATAAACGGTCTTTTTTGGTTAAAAGTAGGCTTCGGATATAACTGTTGACTATATCGACATGTTTTTTTAAGCTTACAGAGCAATTTCTGAAGACAGGCCCGTCGCAGCCTGCAAGACCATGACTTGAGAGTTTGCAAATGTATATTTTGTCTGAAAAAAGTCTGCTGTTAGTGCTTTTTTAATCCTGAGTACTTATCCCAAACTGTGTTTGAGTCATCTACTGCTTATTTTTTCGAACTCAACACTAGAAGTAGAAGGAGTGCCTATAGAAAGCCCCCTATTAGCCAAAGTCGTCATTAATTTCGTAGCTTTCTTTAACCGAAGCTGAACAGATCGAAAGTCTATATCATCTGTACCCCCTATGCCATGGGGAAACGAGTTCTTATCAAAAACCAATTAAAACACGAAGCTGAACTATCCACCCCACGATCGTCATATCATGCTTTCAGCCGCTCGAGTATACATGATTGGCAGATACATGGAAATTCAACTGACCGTATGCCTCATTTTTCGTATAGTGCAATAGGTACACGGGATGCTTTATTTCCGCATGTAGAATCCGCAAGTCTTTTTCTGATTTGGAGGGTATAAAACACGTTTTAGTATTTAACGTCTTTAACGAGTGACCTGATTTGAGTACTGGTAACCACTTTCGTTCGTTAAAACGTCCTGAGAGATACCATCTTCATCAATAAGACTGAAAGAAATAGACTCTGGTGCAACTTTCTTACGTACCTCGAGTTCTCCGGACTGCGAGGAAAGGTAGGCAGTGTGTTACCAGAAAAAAACAAGCTAGTATCACATGCGATTCCATTTCAAAATTATGCAGCCCCGAGTTTTGTTTTCAGAGCAAACAATTGGTTCCAGAGGCGTTATTGAAATTTTTCAGACTGCCATTTTGCATAAAGTCCTATTCCAATCAACTTAATAACCAAATAAAACTTGTGTCATTGTGATATAAATTCTATCTGATTTTGAGTTCTGCCGTTTCAGGTGGTCCTGGCAAATTATGGACAGCCGTCGAGGGTTGAGGGAAAGTGGACAGACACAGCTGCTTGCGTTCGAAGTCCCCTGAGAATTAGGTTAAGCATGGGAAAATTTTCAAGCAGGCCTCTATAACCACCAAAGTCCATTAAATTATGTCTTCAGGCATTATGATTACCAAATCACCTCTACACTGCTAATGCGATAATTTTTTTGGCTTCCATCACAATGCAAGCGTGAAATGAATATTTCCGGCAAACGCAGACCAGATATATCTTCAGCTATTTTCTGTTTCGTAGCATGACGGAACAAAGTGAGGACAGTGAATGCCCTTTATTTTTCTGTGTAATCTTGAAGCTGTCGCTTTGGACTATAACTTCTGAGGCAGACTAACTTGGTAACCTAACAATTAGCAAATCGTTTGGCAATTTTTGCAGCTTCAAACACGCAAAATTCATACAAACCACTTGTTGATTTTTAAGCACTGATTTTACGTCAGCAAAAGTGATCGTTTTTGGATTTTGGTTACTTAGCAGAGGAGACTTCAAAAGACATGTCTCTCCAGATGCCCGAAATATTTCCCTAAAATTTCGCCTTCGGTGGCCGTTATCAGCAGTCTACTTATAATTCCGAGAAAAAAATAAAGTACCGGTTTTGGCATTTTAAATACTGGGTAGGCACTTTGTCCTTTAACAGGTTTCGCCGAAGCTATAAATTTTTGTGCCATTTCTGTATCTAAAAAGGCAACGTATAGAATCTTGACTTTAATTGGGAAATCTTCCAACCGTGATATCGACAAGACGCAGTCTAAGGTCATAAATATAGCGGGTGCCAGCGGTGTTATCTGTTGGTGGAGAAAGATAAAATCCGCAAATTCTGAGTCTCGGAGTGAAAAATAACCTAAAAAATTTGAAGCAGTATTTCACTGAGGAATTCTAAAAGAGACAAAGGTTCTGAGAGAAAGGCCATAATAATCCTACGTCTCAAAAAATCTCCGTCAGTTGCACAGTCGTTAATGTCCGTTAATTTTAAGCACAAGATAGCGTGGAACTAAGGCAAGCATGTTAAAATCTTAAAACAAGGCAAAGATCGTAGGCAGCTGAATATGAGTTGATGATAGCATTTAATTCTGTATAAGTCGCAAATGGTGCCTTAACTTAGGCAAAGTTATACTAAGAAAAAAATATTCGGCTTCAGCTCAGGGCGTACATATGGTTTATGTTATATTTTTCGAAGTCCAAAAAACTCAGAAATCGGACAATCATTATTTTCAGAGATTTGCTTCCTTCAACGAGAGCGGCCGTTCTTGCTGCCTTTTGGGCTTCAGTAGAAAAAAATGAAAGCTTTATTCACAGTAATTAAAACTTTTATAATTTTTTAAGTGCCATTTCATCCCTATTATCTTTTTCTTTCGGAAATTAACGTCAGACTCAAAGGCCTGGCCGGTCCTTTCGAGGCCTCCGTTTCTTATTAAGTACCACCTATCTTTCAGTCCTTAGAGGACTGTGATTTGACGGCCCCGAACACTGCTTAATATGATTAAATTAAAAGTAACGTGAAAGTCTGGCTCGTCAACCCGGCATCTGTGCCCAAAGAGCAATTTCCAAACGCAACCCACACGCTAGTGCATCCGTTTTTTGATGAAAAAACACTGGACTTAAAGCTCAATGACTAAGGAGCACGACTTTAAGTCCGGAATTGTCCAGGACGAAAGCTGAGATGTGAGTGTCTAGCGATAGCAACTATGCCAAAAATGCCCGTGCTACTACCTTATCATTTTGCTGGTATTTTGGTGAGTAATAACTAATCATACAGGGTATATCCGATCTCATGAAATGTTTTCCAAAATTGTGGAATGCGTTTCCGATTTGGAAGGATTACTTAGGTGGAGTTGTAACACTGATTAGCATGCAGCATAATCTTATAGCATTTCTGATCCATCAGAATGTCGGCTTGTGAATGCACTTTTTCTTGACCTACAGAAACCACACTCAGTAAAAATGGCATTCATTTTTCACAACGATTTTCGGTGGTCTTATAAATTCAGATGCATTTTATAGAAAACATGCACAAAATATGCTTTTTTCAATTCTTTTGGTAGAAGATCACATTATTTTCATATTTTATACCCTAAGAAAGTGTATCTTTAGGTTTTAACAAAGCTTCCCAATTCCCGAATAATTTTGAGCCTGATCTGCCATTGTTTAGCGATTTCAGTCTGCAAGGTGTATGCTTCCCGTTTAAGGAAAATCATATATTCCTCTATGCTTTTTAGAAGATGCTACATAGAGTTCAAAAAATTTTGCGATGGGTCCGGACTGTGTTGTACATTTTATGAGCAGCATTGCTAAACGGACATGTGCGAAGTCGTATGATTGGGCATCGCACGGCCATAATTAGAAACTTTTAAAAACCTCGCCTTTTCAATACCTGCGCCTGATTGTCAGACAGAAGGAACTTATGTGATTATTTGCCGTACTAACGACAAAAATATTAGCTAAGAGCCAAGACACGCATGTTTTGCCGATCTTGTGCCGCTGCCTAGCGCAGCTGCGAGGGGTTCGGCTCATCAGTGGGTCTCCCAGCTTTCCCCGTGCGTTTTCTGGTGTATGAGCTTCAAGAACTTACCTGAAAAACATGACGAAACAGGGGAAAATGACTTTCTTGAGTAATTTTTGCCCCGGAACGTACTGCTCTCCCGTCGGCAACACTGTTAAGTAATTAATCCGCAATATGTGGTTTTGTAGCCTCATTTGATGGACACAATACTGTTGAGGTTGGGGTTGGGGTTAGGGGTTATGGTTAGGGGTTAGGGCAACTATTCCTCAACCACTCAAGGTACAACCGCACATCCCCAATGGCTGTTCTTTTGCATACAACTGCCTGATCTCATCGTCTGTGCGTCTCCCGGCTCCACCTGTAAAAACCCCTCTTACCACCCGTAACGTATTGCAGAAGACTAGGGTTTGTTTACTTCAGGTGCGGCTTTATAACCACATCTGACCCAGTACTCTTCCTGAAAAAATTCGGAAACGAGAGTCCAGATAAGCCAATCTCATTTTATTAGTTGAGGAATGCTCGACACCCGCTCATGTGAAAAATCATCACATTGCAAAAGCGTTCATTGTTTTTTCCTCTGCGAGTGGTATCATTTCCACGGCTATCGATCTGGTCGCTATGTAATCGCCTGCGCGGGCTCTAGATGGAGTCGCAAGGCAAAGCGAAGCGATCGCATGCGTATGCCGATCAATGGGCGTCCCTCCACGATATATATAGGTAGGAGAATCGACAAAGTCAGGGGAGACTGGAATGATCGTTTATAATTTAATATTCACTTTAGCCAACCATACTAAGGATTATAGTCCAGGTTCAGGGCGTTTACCAATCTAACGCCCTGCCATTGAGCCGCGGGCCCTATTCCCTGTCGGTTGTGGTCGGGCACAACCACTTTGGTGGATAGAGGCAAGTGGTTTAATGTTCAGTGTTCAAAGGGTCCGACTTCGAATCCCAGGCTATGCAAACCTAGGGCTTTTATGATTGGCCGACGGCGGTTAACAAGTCGCAACTTGCTATCCTAGTCCCTCTTTGTTTATACAGTTAGTTGTCATTAAATGCCATTCTGCGAGGACTGTAGACTGGGCCGCAAGGCACAGCTGCACGAGTATGCGCGTTAACTGACCGGTGAACGCCCTTCACATGATATAGAAAATCGAAAAGAAACTCACTTCCCTTGTTATATCAACTTCCATGAGACAGAACGATATTCGCGATCAATAAATTTTCTGATCCAATTTTTTTGCTAGTGTTCTTTTTTAAACTTATGCCTGAAGAAGTTTTGACGACGATAACTGTCTTCTGGAAGAAGATTTTTCTACGAACTAAACCTTCAGTAGAAGCTTCCTTTTTAATGGTTGATTTGAGGGTTCAGCTGAATTATGGAAAAGCAGATATCCCATTTTTCTCATAATCGAGAGCAGACATGAAAATAGAGAAGTTTACTTGACTCTTTAGCGAGGATTTAGCGGGGTTTGGATACAGAACAACCTGAAACCAACACTGCAGTGCCACAAGGCTGCAAAAAACGCCATGGGAGTGTTGCATGCAATAAGAAGGGCTTTCGTAAATTTTGACCAAGACCTTTTTGGGAGAGTTTACGGCACATTTGTTCGGCCCCACTTAGAATATGGCATACAAGCATGGCGGCCATGGCTGGTAAAGGACCAAGAATGCCCCGAACGGGTACAACGGCGTGCAACAAAGCTGGTAAACGGTCTAAAAAGCCATTCCTACACAGACAGACTGAATTGCCTTAATTTATTCCCTCTGTGTTACAGGCAGCAAAGAGGTGATCTTATCCTCGTCTACAAGATAATACATGGCCTTGAGTATGGACTTAAATTTGAGGACATGTTTCAGTGGCACCTTTCACCCAATCTTCGTGGTCACCCGATGAAGTTACGGACAACAATGTCCAGGCTGAATCTCCGTTCTGAATTTTTCACGCAGAGGGTAGTGGAGAAATGGAACGATCTCCCTCAGTCAGTCGTGGAGGCTACATCCCTGCAACTCTTCAAGAAACGCTTGGATGATTATTTGTGTCCCCTGTTTTCCCTCGACGGTCTGAATCTGAACTAATACCCCTGGTCCAGACAAATATTTTCTCTGAGACAATGCTACTCAAATGAACCAAGTACTGTTTTAATAGTGAACATTTTTTGTTCGTGTACAGTTATTCTAACGAGCAGACATGTAGTCAATAGGGTTTTCAAAGGCTTTGCCTATTATCCTTACCAAATAAACTGAAATAAACTGACTTACTCTACGAAATGGGCCTATCAGCATTGGCGTGTGGACTAAAATGGATCGACACTGCTTTGCGTTTTACAGAGTCTAACAATCTTCTCTCTGTACACGCTTTTGTGAGTTTTGGCATACAAGCGCTAGGTTTTATTCTTCACCTCTTTGGCGTCTGAAACGGCATAACCTTACTTTCATGACCTGGACCGTGTAATATAGAATTCCCGATGCAAAATACGTTGACTTTTGATCCAGAACAATGTTATTTTGCCTTCCGTCTCGTAGCCTTAACCTCAATCCACGCCGAGTGGATCTGGTAAAAAAAAGCTATCTGTTTTGAGTAAATATTGCAAAGCCTGTCCCAGCTAGTCGCGTAGTTTTTCACTAACAGGAAAAAACGGTGTTTACTAAAATATTATATGGCGACAAAGAAATTTCGCCATGGGCAAATTTTCAACCGATCGTTTATACGTGGTATACGTCTAAGCAAAAATTCATTGATTGCCTAGAGCAGGTGAGTGCGGACACTAACTGACGGGCACGCGAAACGAAAGGAGTTAAAGCAACTTTAGTTTCATTGGAAGGAGTCTAATGTCTTCAATACGAAATAGATTCAAATGGGAGGTAATAAAGAAATTAAATTATTTCATTCGTTTTCCTGTCAGGACGTTGATTTTAAGCGTCTGCTAGTGTTTCAAAACTAGGCTAACAGTTTGGTTCTACTTACAAATATATTGATCCCTTTCTTTACTCGGACAGCTAAATGGGCGAGTTAACAGCAAAATCCTCTCTGAACGTCCTCATTTTGATGATATTCTGCTGCTGAAAACGCATTTTTTGGCTCGATTGGCAAAGTTGAGAGATCGGGGTTGGTAATTGGAGAAATAAGCTGGGCTCACTGGAATAGGTTTATTGGAATGCTGGCGTTTCGGAGAGTCTGGGCAGCTGACTCAATTAAACAGAAGTTGGAGCGTCATGTTGCGCTAGTCGGTCTCAGTGCGGATCGACTTTTCGCTTCTCTCGCCACCTTGACCATTCGCGGATGTCTGGTGGGCTTCTTAGCTGCGTACGTTGTGAGTCAACACCTTGTTGGAGAGGTGACTGGGCCCCTATCGACAAGCGCGGCAGCCTTTTTGAGATATTCGGCACTGATAAGAAATAGTTAAGTCAGGTTACTAAGGGAATGGAATTTCACTCTTGAACTCCCTATTCAAAGCAATAAACAGAAAAAGAATCACCAATTACATCAGTAAATGCGGAAATTCAAAAGTTAGCGGTAAGTGTTGGCCAGGCGCAAACTGCCGCCGCTAAAACCATCGTGATTATATGTACAGTAGTTTCTCAATAAATGAGCATCTAGTCTACACTTAAAGAATTCTACACTTTCGGAAAGAACCACCGCATCAGGGAGTCCGTTCCATGCCCCAATGACCCTGTGAGAGAAGGCGCTCCGTCGGACGTCCGAATGAGCCAGCTTCCTCTGCAGTTTGAAGACATGACCACGCAGACAATCAGTCTCGACCAATTCGAAGAATTCATCAAAGTCTAGACGCACTCACGGCTTCTGACAATCCTGTAGGTTTAAATGAGGTCGCCGCGCAGTTGCCTGTAATTTAGAGTAAACAGATTTAGTTCGGTCAGCCTGGCTTCGTAAGGCACATGATTAGGATTCTTGACCATCTTCGTAGCCATCGCCTGTACTCTTTCCAGTCGTTGATAATCTTTCTTCAACCACGGTCGCCAGCCCTGGGCTGCATACTCCAAGTGTGACCGGACGAATACCCCATAGGTTTTCCTGAACAGTTCTTTATCGATCTGCCCAAATCCCCACTTCAGCGCACATAACACTCTTATCGCACTTTTGGCTGCCCTTTGACACTGTGAAGATGGTTTCAGCGAGGAGGTCATTAGGACGCCGAGGTCTTTCTGTTCCACAACATTTGAAAGGGGCTGACCACCCAGGACGTATTGAAATTAGTCGCCCTCCTTACTAGTCTTTTTGGTGAGGAGTCTCAGGACCACGCATTTGTCCACATTAAAATCAAGGAGCCAAAGAGCTGACCAACTGTTCAGACGGTTGAGACTGTCTTGAAGCGCGTACCTGTCTGAGTTAGATCTGATGGCTCTCCCCAGCTTAACATCGCCAGCCAACATGATGGCGCTGCATCCCAGATCGTCGATGCAGCCGCTAATGTAAACCAGGAATAACAACGGCCCTAAGACGGAGCCCTGGGGTACGCCACTTAAAACGGGAGTAGGATTTGACCTCGAGGCCCCAACGCACACGGTTTGTGATCGCCCTGTAAGAAAATCTGTTATCCATGTCAGCAGCCTTCCTCTTATCCCAATTTCAGAAAGTTTGTAGAGTAGGCGTTTGTGTGGGACGCTGTCGAATGCCTTTTTGAAGTCCGTGTAGATGACATCGTCCCTACCACCCTCGTCCAGGGCACAAGTCCACCGTTCCGTGGAGAGCAATAAACTGGAAAGACACGAGCGGTTCTGTCTGAAGCCGTGCTGCAGGTCTGAGAGTAAGTGGTTAGCAGAGGATCCATTGATGAGCAAAAGTATGCAGTAGGACTGACTTATATGGTCCCCTAAACAGGACATGGGAAATGGAACGTCCGCTGAAGCAATAAATGTGGACCTGTACATAATTCCGGAAAAGGAAGAATATTTCCCTGTCTTAACCTCAACTAAAACTAAACCGTTGCCCTAGTCTTGACACTAACTCTACCGATAGAAGCGAACAAGCGAGTTCCAGGTAGCGGTTCAGAAGACGAAGATGCGATCACTGGAACAAGAAATTTACTGGCCTGACGTTTCGGATTCCCACTCGGATCCATCATCAGAGACAATCGCAGATAAAGGTGATGGTGGCACAAGGCGTGCAGTATTTATAGCACTTGGCTGCCGTGGGACCATATGCGCACTGTAATTATAAGCTCTAGCTATCACCGCTGGGTGGTGGCTTGTCAGCCCGAGTCGTTGATTGCCGCGATTTTGTCATCCGTGCTGGATGCTGATGTGACGATTGCGAGGCAAATTGGCTCACTGTTACTGGAATACTTGTTCGCACGCGCCCTCCCCACGTGACTGATTCCCCTGCTCAGGGGAAACTGCAGCACGGAATATGGTACCGGGAGGTCATTGTGCTTGTTGATGGATTGCGGGCCTGAGAACCATGACTCGAGCAGCTCGCGGCTCACGCGGTTGTCCCCCCTTGCGAGGATTTCGGCCACTTAAAATTTGAAAATATGACTGGGTCTCGTCGGGTGTGCAGCCACCTGAGACTTAGCGTCTCCTGGCCTCACTGCTGCTGCGTGCTCGACAATTCGCGTACGGAGTAATCTCCCAGTTTCTCCGACGTATTTGCTTTGTCCGCAACTACGCCAGATCCAGTAAACGACTCCAGACGTTTCTTGCTGTGGCAGCGGGTCTTTTGGCCTCATGACTCGGCGCCTAATGGTTGCTTCCAGCCTGTGTGCAGCCGCAACTCTAAGTGGAGTGAGAAGACGACTGACGGCTTCCGAGACGTTCTTCACGTACGCAAGAGCCCGCCAAAATTTGGGGCCGGTTGGATTTGGTCTCTGGTGTTCTCTTCGTATGCACTGGTTGACAAAGTCGCGCGGGTAAGCAGTGGCTCCCATTAACCGTCGAAGATGTTGTAATTCAGCAACCTTGTCTTCCATTTCACTGCAGTGCTTCTCAACGCGTCGGACGCTATACCGGCGTATAGGTCACCCCTGCCAAACATGTCTTGATGGACACAAATAGGAGGGTATCTCAGGAACTGAGTGGTTCGAACCCTGACTTTTTGAATAAAAAGTAACTTCTCTCTTGAGAGGATAGGCTGTTGCTGCAGGCCGCAGTCACGCTAGCCGCATAGGCTGACTGTTGGTTAACCAGTGGATGCAAGTGATAAGGTGCGCTCTATTATGTAGCTGGGGGGGAGAGAAAAGTTATCTTTGGCCAAATGTCATCCACGTCGATCGTAAGCAGTGAAGCGGGGTAGGGGGGTGGACAGAGAGCAAGGGGGATGTTCGAATTCCATAGTGTAACTCGCTTCCGCACTTTGTCTTCGGCCGTGCTGATTCGGGCTTTCGCGAATGAATTTCATTGCCTTCGCGTTCTTCTCAGTTTCAGGGTGTCCATAAGACAAGTTAAACCGTAAGGAGGTGGTGCCAGCGACGACTGATGCATGCCTTGCTTGTGGGTTTGATTTCCAGTGTCGCTGCAGAGCCCCACGCATTCCTTTTGTCAATTAGTTCGGCAAAATTTCCTACCATCAGCGTAAGGAGCCCATCTTCTTCACCGTTCTGGCCGCTACTTCGTGACAGGAATCCATGACTGTCGGCCGTCCCCAACCCCCCGTCCCCCAGCTTTGGTGACGGGTCCTGCTCCCTGCCCTGAAATGACAATATAGTCAAAGATCATGAAACCGGCGGACTGCCTATCAGGCTGACGATGTGTTGTCTGACGTAGTCTTTTCCAGTGAAATTGGAGAGAGGCAGTCAACTACTGAAGACATTTGATCTTTTCCTACCAAATCGCGAGTTCATTGTAATAAGAGTCATAATTTTCATAAAGCGATGTTTAATGAAATGTAAATCTAAATTCATAGGTGTTGTGGCAGACTTCAAATAATTCATTCTGTCCAATCTGTGAAAAACTCGGTGTCTTGGCGGGATTCGAACCCAAAACAGCAAAGGGTAGGTCTTAGTACAGCCAACGCTCTGGTAATTTGAGTTCTGAGTCCCCACCGGACGACGCGAGTTTAATCCCATTCGGGTCGAGTTTACCAGCCCAACGTACTGCAATGTCTGGATCCACCAAATCTG